CTCACTAGCTCAGGCTGAACATTCATCCTCCGAAGCACTTCTTCAGGCATGCAAAAAACAGGACTAACAGGTTTAATCTGTTCTTCTGCCAAAAGTGACAATCCAGCAATTCCAGATAATGTATGAAAAGGATCTACCATATCTCCTGGCCTGTCTGCAAATCCCCCCATTTCTTCATCTTGACATGCTAAGATGAAATTGTGCAATTTCTCTCTGTCAATCCAATGAAGCCTTCCAATTATCTTTAGGGAGGCCAACACCCACCATGAATAACATACATCTGGTAACTTCTCTGGCCTTCCATTGAGTCCACCTGAGGGTAACTGTCGTTCACAAAGCCACCAACCAAGTAAATCAGAATTTACTTGATGCAACTGACTGGTAATAGCCAGGAATCCTGTGCAACAATAGATCTGCCCAGCATGGGATTCAGAACCTGGTCTGCAACCAAATCCATCATCAAAGTTCATACAGGATAAAACAAATTCAATTGCCTTTTCCACATTAATGGCATCAAGCTTCCCCAATAGAGCCAAAGTTGCCACTGCACAAAAGGAGAATCTTGTATCAATTTCTCCCCAAATGTCTCCAGCAAAAGAACGATCTTCTTTCTGTAGACTTTGAACATATTCCACAACTTTGTTTATGTCAATAACATTAATACTATCATACAGAGTAAGAATCTGGACAGCACTAAGAGTGTATAAAAGATGAGGATCATGTCTGATACTAGTGCTTATTCCACCACACTCATGTTGGCATGACTTAATAAATGTCAGAATTTCTTCTCTATTCACGTGATGAAGTTGTCCCATGAGATTCATTACTGTCAGACCCCAATAGATACCACTCATTCCTAAATACTTAGGCATGCAGTATTCATAATCATCTTTCTTTGAGCCATAGGATGCAATATAATCTGCATGTTTCTCCAATAATAGGGTGCTGGGTGCATCTCACTTGATAATAACATCCTTCTGTGGAGTGCCCATGTCTACGAACGAAAGGACCAACAAAACTTTCTAAACTGCTAAAAGTGGGGAAGAGTTGAAACTTGGGCTTTATTTTGGAAATTAAACATTTGGAAGGAAGGCTTACAGTAGTAGGTTTGACTTTTATAAGGTCAACTGGATGCTTTTAGAATAAAAATATATTTTTCTATTTGTATCATTTCATAACCCAAATAAATGTTCATGAAGTAGATGTGTTCTACATAGCAATAGGTCATAGGGACTTTGATCAGAATGCAGGAAATATGAAAAGACAGAGCATCTAACTACATATTTATATACCCAAGGTAAATGAGAACTTGATTATGAGAATGTGGGGAAAGTGATATCATTTCATGCTTTACAATTCTCTTTGATTTAATTTTGTATGAGTCACTGTATTTTATCTTTGACAGATAATAACTCAATCACATTTCTTTTATTATCCTGGGAGGCCTCTGGACTTGGGATATTAAAAATAGAAAAAGTATTTTAAAAACCCTGGTAAGCAGATACAAACCCCCTAATGATTTTGCTTGTCATTTTTTTTTTGTCCTTTTTCCTGTCTGAGACACAGAGATGCAATTGTGCTGCATTATCAAAAAATTAAATCAAAAATTAAAACTTCAGGGAGTCTGAATGTCTGCTTCCAGTGACACAATACTTTGTCAATATCATTTGGTTTTGCTTAGGGAGCCTATATTTTCCTGCACTTTGTAATTGCCTCTGTGCTAAATTATATCTAAAATAGAAAGAGACCATATGAAGGGATTGCTTGATAAAATGAGCTATGCATCTTGACACCTCTTGCTTAAGTTCTATTCAGTCTAATCATCAATAAAACATATATTAATACTATATAACTTTATTCTGTATCAATACCCACTCTCTACCTCCACCTCTATATCCAATCAACATTTTACT